TGATCCACTGTTCTCTGGGTGTGGATAGTCAGGAAAATGTGGGAGTTTCAGCAGTGTTCATTTCCAGAACACCTGAAAGTAACTCTTTGAGAAGTGGTATGGCTGGGCTGAAACCCCAGGCCCTGTGGGCATCATGATCTCTTGAGGGTCATTGTGATCTCATGGAAATGGACTGGTCTAGCTCAGCGCCACTGAGTTTCCAACCTTCCCTAGGAAGAGCGGTCCAGTCAAGAAACCAAGTAATAAGTTCTGGTAAGGCTTTCAGTAGAAGAAACCTTCTTGTGAACTAGTACAAACTGGAGAATCCTCAGAAAGCTAGCCATAGAGCTGGGCATGGTGACACACATATGTAAACCTAGCTGTTAGGAGACTGAGGCAGGAGGACCACTAGCATTTTGAGGCAAGCCTGAGCTATATAGTTTAGGGCCCGCCTGAACTATATAGCGAGATCCTGTCTCAAACAAAGTAGAGGTAGAAATTTCATGTAAGTGAACTATTCCCCTTTTAGGCATTTTTTCAAAAGTTAAAGACATGATATTGCTGTGATCTGTGCACACTTGTTTGTAGCAGCACAGTTGGTAATAGGTAGATCTTGGAAGTGCCCTGAATGTCCACCAACAGATGGGTGGATAAAATAAGTGGAGTATTTACACAATGGAACACTACTCTGCCATTAAGAAAAGATGAACTTGAGTCATCTCTTGACAAATAGATGTACATTGAGACCATAATGCTAAGTGAAATAAACCAGACAAGCTTAAATATACTGTGTTTTACATGAGAAACCCAAAGTATGAATAATTTAAAGAGCAAAATAAAAGATAATAGGAAATGGAGAGAACTTGCAAATGGGAAGGGGAACAAGAGATGCAGGGAGAGGAGGAGAAGGAAAAAGGTATGTACCAGCTGCCCCAAGACAGTGTGATTATTATATACCGAAGCAGGTCCTAATAAAGCCCATACAGTACCAGGGGTAGTGGTACATGCCTATAATCCTAGCAATTGGGAGGCTAAGGCAAAAGGAGCACCAAGAGTTGGAGACCAACCTAGACTGCATGGTAAGATCCTGTCTCAAAACAATCCCTCAGGGCTCCTGGCTGAAACCCTGAACTAGTCACCTTAACTGAGTAGACAGCCTCCTTTTCTTCCTATGCCACTGGTAGGTTAAGTTTGCCCATTTATTTAGTGTTGGAATCCCAGGCAGGAGCCAAACTCACTGTTGAGTTCAAGGCCAGCCTAGGATATGTAGTGAGAGCATGTCTCAAAAACAAAAACACCCATCTTAATTTTTGGTGTTACAGATGCAACCCAGAGCCTCATGCATGCTAAATGTTCTTTTTTACCACTGAGCTGCATCCCCAGACCTTAAAGGGAATGTTGAGAAATTTGATTTAGGGGAAAGTTCACACTCAGGTAGCTGGGAAGTGCTGTAGACTCAAAGACCACAGGAGTGGACTTTGCTCTTTGCTGGGCCTGTCAGTGTCAGTGGCTGCCATGTGATACCCAGGGAAGTGACCTGATGTTTGTGACCCCTTATCTGCAGAATGGGGAGAAAAATAGAATTCACCACAGTGAGTCTCTAAGGAGAACTCTGAAAACCAAGGAGCAGGTGCAGAGGGCATCCTTGCTGCTGGCTACAGAAGGACTGTGTGGCTGACTTAACAATGGTGTTTGATGAGGAATTTAAAGAGGTGCTTTTTTTTTTTGGCAGAACCAGGGACTGAACTCAGGCCCCTGCGCTTGCCAGGCAAGCACTTATTTCACTGAGTCATCTCCCTAGCCTGATTAGGAATTTAAAGGAAATAATATCAGGTCTCCTCACTCTACTTCCTATAACACTTAACAAGTACAAGGGGTGGTTGAAAAATACAGTAATGCTTAAAAAATTATTGCAGCTGTTTAAAAATTATTACAGAGGCTGGGGAGATGGCTCAGTAGAATAAGTGCTTCCCTGGCAAGTGCAAGGGCCTGAATTCAATACCTGGTTCCACAAAAAAAAAAAAAAAAAAAAAAGTTACAGCAAGGCCACATTGGCATTGATCCTGCTCAGAACACTTCTTTCTTCTAATAGATTTATCCCAGTTCTGAAAGTCCTCTTGTGTTTCTAAGAGTTGTGATAAAAAAAAATGTAAACACTGCTGCAAGTACCACCTAACAAAAAGGCAGGTTGGTTAAAACATGATGGTGTGACCTTATTGACTAGGTCTGGCAGTAGTCAACTCTTGATTCTCCAAAGTCAAAGTAACCATGAAAGGAATACATTTTAATCAATTTAGGACATCAAGGCAGCCAGGACAGCACAACTATAGACACTCAGGAAAGCTGCTGCAGAAAGTGGCAAGAAGCATTGGGGTAAATGTGTCCACAGCAAGGGTGAGGGTTTTGAGGGGGTTCATGGCTATGTGTCTTTTATTGTAATAAAATTTTTGAAATTTAGACATTCTCTGTAGTTTTCAGTCACACCTTGTCTGTAAAATAGATGGCTAAATCATTGCCCTGAAGTATCCTGTCACAGAATATCCCAGGCCCCTGGCCAGGCACAGCCCTGGCACCCCACCGGCCCAAATTGTAGTTCTTTTCCAGAAGTGTTGGTGCGTGTCAGTATGGATGCTGGTGAATCCCAGCAGCTGAGCCATCAGCTCTGTGACCAGCAGCTTAGCTTTCCATCACTAAAAAGAAATACAAGAAAGCACTGACATACAGAAAAAGCTTACTCCTTTTGGAGGCGCTGGTCCCATACTGGGGGGCCCAGCCCAATGGCACTGAAGCAGACTGTTTCCCACATGTGCCAGGAAGTGAGAGTAAGCAAGGGCCAGGTCCCACAGTCCTCCAGGAGACTCCAGTGACCTTGAAGGTGCCCCCACATCCCAGCAGCATAGTCCTGGGGACCAGGCTCCAGTTCTCAGACCTGTTGGGACTCTACTGCAGCCTGCTCAGGAGAGGGCATGGACCTATGTGGGTGCTGCCATCCTCTGGCAGCTGTGCAGGCGTGACAGTGGCCAAGCGTGGCCTCCTGGAGACCACTCTGAAGGCAGGTCAGAAAGGTCCCAGAGTCTGCTCAGCTGGGCCCATCCTACCTTGGATTTCCTGGTGTTGAGCTGATTTCCTGATTATTTCCTATCTTTCCTGTGAACAGAGGTCTTGGCATGGGCACATATGTTCCCTGTATTAACTAGGCCTGTGTGGGAGCTTGAGTGTCCATGATTACAGAACCCACAGATGCAGGTAAATCTCTGAGAATGCCCTCCAATGTGATGCCTATTCTACAGTGGAAGACACCATAGCTAGGCCTTGTGTCCTGCCCCCTTGGCTCAGCCTCAGTGGCCTTGGTGCCCACCTGGGCCTCTGTTCAGTGGATAATTTTTTTTTTTTTTTTTTCTTCCCCAGTACAGGCCCTTGTGCTTGTCAGGCAAGTGCTTATTCTACTGAGCTATCTCCCTGACAGTATCAATCAAGTAAAAGGTTGGAATTAGTTGTGATACTGGGAGGTTGAGATAGGAGGAGCCCAGTGAATTTGAGGCCAGCCTGGGGTACATAGTAAGAACTTGTCTCAAAGAAACAAAAAACAGGCCTTTAGCCTACAGAGCTGTTTCCCAGGATGAAGAGGAAGGTCCTGTCCTGTGTGTTCAGAAAGCAGGGCCCTTGGGCTATGAGGACGTCATGCCCTCTGAGGGGCCACAGGTTTGGGACCACAGCTGCATGTTCAGTCTGCTTCCTTCTCTTTTGCTCCAGGAGGGACCAGAGATGGAGCTCCCAGGCCACAGTGGGTGGCACCTCTTTTGCTATAGGAAGCTACAGGCTTCTCATGCCTGGGACCGGGTCAGTGCTACTCCTCTGGGGTTCTTTGCAGATGGCTGTGCCTCAGACCAACACAGGGACCACTCCCTGCCACTCTAGGCAGGTTATAAGGACAAAGGGGACATGGGTGTGTGTGACTAAGGAACCAGACTTCCCCAGAGGCCGGCCTAACACTGGTCACTGGGCACCAGGGAGAGTCGCTGTGGCCCCCAGGGCTCCCTGTTGGGGACCATCAGTAGGTCCATCTGTAGCAGGCATTTCCTACGGTAGAAAGATTCCCTCTTTGCAAGGTGTCACACAGATGTCAGTGATGGGTCTGTGCTCATACAACATCCACCAGGTCATCATGGTGGCAGGTCAGTGTGGCATGGGAATCCAAGACCAACAATGAGCCGCTCCTAAACTGACTTCTGTCTTCTTCCCCTGATTAACCTCAAATTCCTTTTTTTGGTTTTGTTTGTTTCTTGGTAGTGGGGATTGAACTCAGGACCTTGCACTTACCAGCCAAGTGCTTATGCTGTCCTCTTGTTTTTCATGCATGCCAAACCTTCCCCAGTCAGTGCCTGTTAGGACACCTTATGGCCCATACAAACTCTACCCCCAACCCAGCCTGATAAATTCTTTGACTCCCTGCCTCCTCTTCCGTGGGTTCTTGTTTCTCTTCAGCAGCCCTCTGGTGCCAAGAAATAAAGGTTTTCTTTACCTTTCTTCCACTTCTCATTCATGCCAAAGGAGGGAACCTTACAGTCAGAAAGTAGAAAGAGGCTAGATGGGGTCACTGGTTGGCCCAGTGTCCATGGCTGGGGCAGACCACCCACCCCACAGCGCAGAAGGCCCTATGTTCCCTTCCCAGTGCTGCCCTCTCTCACAAAAACTATCTGGAGCTAAGCACTGATGAGGGACAGGGAATGAAGACACCTGGCACCTGTCACAGCAGTCCCCTTACCTGGGGACATATCCCAGGACCCCTAGGATATGCCTGAAGCCATGAACAGCATTGAGCTGTGTACAGAACAGGGTTTCCCCTACACATGCAAGTTTAATTTATAAATTAGGCTCAGTAAGATATTAGCAACAATAATAAAATGGGACAATTAAAACAATGATGGGGCATGGTGGTACCCACAATGCCAGCACCTATAATACCAGGAGCTTGAGGTGGGAGGATCACTGAGAGTTCAAGTCCAGCATGGGATGCATAGTGAGTTTTAAATATGTAAGTTATTTATTTGTGGAATTTTCCACTTAATATTTTCAGACCAAAGTTGACCCTGGGTAGCTAAAACCACAGGAGCCAAAGCCACAGACGGGCACTGATGGGGTGTGAGGAGACAATTCCACCAGAACTGAGCCCTCAGGATTAACACAAGATCTGTCTGCTCCCTGGTTTGAATCAGGGCATGTTTAATGTAAACGTTTTAAAAGAATTGCAAACTAGAAAAAATGTTTCCCTGGAAATAATGAATGTACATAACTAGTCCTCAGATAGTGGTTCTTTACAGTGTCCTTGGTGATAGCCTGGTGGCAGCAGCCACACTCCTACTGGAAATGGGGACACTGCCCACCAGGGATGTGGCCCTTGAGCCTATACCCTTGGAACCCACAGCAACATCACAGCCCAAGGGTGCAGCATCTCCTCTTCCAGCCGCTCCTGTTCACCTTCTGATCTCCCATTTTCTCTCCCTTTTCACTTCTTTTGGAAATATCCATGGTGTATCTGGGGGAGGATGGATCTGTAAACTCGCAATGCCAGCACGAGTGGCAAGCGCAGGAAGGCACACAATAAATTAGAGCTGACGTCATCTTCTGAGGGTCCACAAGGACCTGGGGGTATAGAGGGCACCATGGAGGGATTCTGGGAGACCCACCCTGGTAAGGATGCTGCTGTGTGCTCGGACAGAGGAAGGACTTTCCTGCCTCATTGTTGCCGCGTGGAGGACAGTGGCCTGGGTGGCTCAGTGTCCATGGAATGCAATAAAGCCTTGGGAAACCCGGAACTGAAGGCTGCAGCTCAGCAGGACGATAAAGTGCTTGGGAGGACAGGAGCTGTCACTACCACTGTTTACATCACCTGAGGACCAGTGGACACCATGAAAGGTGATAAATCTACCATGAGGACAGACCAGAAAAGCTGTTCCTACTGCAAGCCTGCATTTCTACCTGAAGTTTCTACTGGTTTCCACGTCTTCGCATTACTCCATGTTATCTCTTTGCTGGGTAAGGAAATCGTTCATGACAGGCTGGGAAACACGACGACAGAGACCAGGTTTGGCAATCCTCCGTGGTCCCCTCTCAAGTGCTGGGTGGGCTGGGTTGTGGTGTGGCTTCCAGCAGTCACCTGTCCCCTGTGAGCTTGCTCCAGTCCTGTGCTGGGTAATGCTATAGCACACTGGCATCCTCCATGGCCTCCATCCACCTGTGGACAGAGTGAATCAGGGTCACAGCTCTGCCTGTACCTCAGACCACAGGGCTGACAGTGATGTCTTGTGTTCATGACTATTTCCCACACACTCCCTGTTGAGCAGAGGCGTGGGACACAGCGTGAACTGTGACTGGGTTAATGCCTGCCTGAGTGGATGAACTGCAAGAGTCACTCTGCCCTTGGGACGCTGAGGAAGGAGGTGGTTGGGGATGAGACTGGAGAGAGACAGGAAGCCATCCTCAGCCTGCTCTGGGATGGAGCCATGGCGCCCAGGCCTATAAATAGTGGGAGGGCTGCAAGTGGCTTCTTGTGCCCAGGGCACTTTGGCAGCTCTAACCAACCCCGACCCTAATCCCCACGTCCCTGACTGCAGCTTTGACCCCATGTTATCTCTCTGCTGGGTAAGGAAATTGTTCATGACAGGCTGGGAAACATGATGACAGAGGCCAGGTTTGGCGGTCCTCTGTGGTCCCCTCTCAAGTGCCGGGTGGGTTTTTGTACCTTGATAGTCCTTCCAAGGGCCATAAAGGTCAAGAATGCCCCTGTCCACGTGGCCAAGCCACACTGTTCACTGACAGGAATCCTGCTCCAGACCAGCCCTCAATCCTCCAAATTCCTAGGCTTCAGCACAGCACCAAGGGGCTGTGAGCCTTGCTCCTGGCCTGTGTCCACCCTGTGGAGAAGGTCTCTTTTCTCAAACAAATCTTTGGTCTTGCAGCTACTCTAGGTGTCTTGCTCAATTCTTCATTCAAGAATCAAAAACATGAATAAAGAGCCCAACCGGAAACCATGTGGCCCTGGGGACTTGGTGGCTATGGCTGGCAGCACTACTCTCAGTGGGATGCAGGCCTCACATTTTCGTACCTCTGGGCAGTGCTGATGTCCTCAGCCTTGAAGCTGTAGAACAGGGTTTTCTTGTGGTACAGGTGGAAGACAGGACTGGGGTCACTGTTGCTCTCCTCCCTCCCTGGTGCGATGGTGAAGCCCAGCAGAGGGATGCTCTCAGTGGCCACTTTGTCCTATGGGGCAGAGGGATGCTGGTGTTACGTATAGCCTGCATACAGGAATAGTACTGGCTATGTCTTTGTTACCCAGCTTCTGCCAGGGCCAGGCCCTGACAGTATTGGGGGTTGAACTCCTTTGAATTGGACTACATGCCTAGCTCTTTTATTTTTTGAGACTAAGTTGCTGTTGTCGTAGCTCGGCTTAATTGGGATCTCCTGCCTCAGCCTTCTTTGGGTTACAGGTGTGTACCACCAGGCCTGGCCTGATACCTTGTTTTGGGGCCAAGTTCTTACACTTTCATTATTTTTTTTCAGTCCACAATAATCCAATAAAGGGCTGGTGAGATGGCTCAGTGGTCTAAAGCACCTACTTAGAACAAGCTAAGCTAAGCAAAAGCACAGGGACCTCGGTTCAATTCCCAGCACCACATGCCAGCCAGCCCCACCCCCTGGTGGGCTGAACTGGTCACACACAAAAAATAAATAAATAAATAAATAAATAAATAAATAAATAAATAAATAAAAAATCCAATCCTTCAGAGAAGGCAGTGCCTCAAGATCACACCGCTAGAAAGCAAGGAACCAGATTTGAGGCTTTTGGCCAATTTCTAACATCCTTTCTGCTGAGCCAATTCACTTGTGACTTGACTTTTTCCTTAGCTTCTTCTAAGACTCACTTACTCCTCAGCCCTGATGTGCTGTGAGCAGCCAGTATTAGATACAGTCCAAGAATACAGATGAAGCTGGGTGTGGTGGTGCACGCCTGTAATTCCAGCACTTGGGAGGCTAAGGTGGGAGGGTCATTAAGAGTTCAACACCAGCCTCCACTACAAAGTGAGCTCAAGGCCAGTCTGAACTGTATAGCAAGATTCAGTCTCAGAAAGACTAAAAAAACCAAACAAACAAAAAAAAACAACCAAGAATGTGGATGGAGCCTGAAACAGCGCTTGGTGGGAGGATTCTGATCCATGAAGGTAAGTCACCCCTGTGCACACATGTAAATGAAGAACACGTATTCATGCAGTGCTTTTTAAAAACACAAGGTACAGAGAAGTACTATGCACACTAGAATAGTTTCGAGGTGAGAGCAAAGGGAGTAGAGTGTGTATAAAAATTCCAAAACCATTTTCACAGATGGAAAGATCAGAAGAAAAGCATTTAACAAAATTTAACATTCACTCATGATAAAAAGTCTCAGCAGCCTTGGAGTTGGAGGGAACATCCTTAACCTGATACAGGGTATAAATGTAAGTGCTCACGGCTGACGTCACAATGAACAGTGAGCTGCTGAACTCTACCTAAGACGTCACAACAGGACTCGAAGAGCATAGTGCTGTGCTAGAAAAAAATAGCAGACAAGCATGGTGCTAAATGCCTGTCATCCCAGCACTCAGCAGTAGGGTGAAGCAGGACGACTGCTCAGAGCTCAAGGCCAGCATAAACTGCAGCCTTGGGGACTCAGGTGGCCCTCTGGGCACAGTCTGTGGGATCCTGGAGGGTCTAGGGCCTCGTGGGGAGGGCAGGCACAGCCTCATACCTCATGTGCTGTGTAGGTGTACAGCACTTTGCCTTTGATGACAAACCACAGCCTCTTCCATGGCCGTTTGCCCCGTTTGCACCGGTTGAGGTAGCCGCTGATGGCCAAGCCCTCGCCTGACGCAGCCACCTGCAGAGAAAGCTGAGGTCAGGGCTGGTCCCTCCTGCAAGCCCCACAGAGTACCACTGGGGCTTGGGGACAGGCCTTGCCGAAGGGACCCAGGAGCCAGGAGCCAGGGCACTGACAGGGAAGCAGTTATACTCAGGACCCCACATGCCCGCCCCCAAATCACGAAACTGCCCTGGCATGATGCTGACTCGACACTCAGCCCACCACATCTCGGGGCGGGGGGGCTGCTCACTGCTATCTGTTGTTTTAGGGATAGAGTCATTATGTAGCTCAGGCAGGCCTTCAACTTTTGGTGATCCTCCTGCCTCAGCCTCCCAGGTGCTGGGACTACAAGGGTGTACCACCATACCCAGCAGCAAAAAATTTCTTGAACAATCCTGAGGGAAGCTGGAGGACAGACCTCACTTTTTATTAGATATTCTTCAGTGCTTTAAATTTTTTTTCTTTTATACCATCTATGTATTTCTGAAAAGAAAACTGGCAGTGCTGGGGATGAACCCAGGCCTCCCAAATGGCAGGCAAGCTCTCGCCATGGAGCTGCAGTCCAGGCCTCTTTCTAAGAGCTTTACTCTTTGAGTTAAGCTGCTGGACAGCCCCTTGCCCATGTTAATCTTTCTTTCCCCAACTGTTGTCTACACCTCTGGATGCCTGCTCTGGATCATGTTAACATGGAACATGGAGTTGTGACTGTGGGTTTTGGAGTAGTGTGTCTTTAGGGAACTGTGATTTATAAGAGATGGAACCTGGCTCTATTTACAGGTGGCAGAGGTGTCCCCCACATATCTGCACACTCCCTGAGGGCACCCTACATCCCATGGACCCCAGTGACACAGCAGAAGGGAACTGAGTGACCTGAAGCCCTGGTGGCCTGGGTGTCCCTGAAGGCTCAGTCTTAGCTCCAGATTAGGAGGAAGAGGACAGGACACAACTGGAGGGTGCAGAGGCACCTCCTGAACTATCCATTCCCTGCCTTGGGTCGCCCTGCAGCCACATCAGTCATGCTCAGGGACAGGCATGTCCTGAGGGCCAGACATGGGAGCAGGTGCTATCCCCAAGGGGTGCCTCAGTACTCATAGGGAAGGAGATCAGCCAGGCTGTGATGGGAGGCCTGACCCGACCCCAGGCAACCCTGTGCCCCACCTCACCTCAGCCAGGGCTGATGGGACCTTCTTCTGCTTCTTGAAGTTGGAGGGGTTGATGCTATGGAAGACGGAGGAGAGGGCGCTGCCCGAGGAGAAGCGGGGTGAGGACAGTGGGAAGCTCATGGTTACGGGCCGCTCTGTAGGGAGAGGGGACATTGGTGACCAGATGGGTGGGGACTCTTCCCCAGGACATTGGCAGGACTGGCTGATTCTCAATGACCTCGGTGTCCCCAGGGAGGAGCACACCTGCCCTCTTTCCTCCCTGACTGTGGGCCCTGCAGCTCTGGAGGGCAAGTTCAGCTTCCAGGGCTCTGTCCCAGGCCCTTCCCGCCTGTCCCCAGCTCCCCATGGGCTCACAAGGGCCCCACAGGTCCTGCTGGGCATAGGCCACAGAGCTCCATGAAGAGGGGCAGCATGTCCCGGGCTCTGTTTCTTCCAGAGCCCTTCACTCCCTGCACAAGTGGCTCCTGGGGATGAGGTGGCTCTGGCAGAGCTGCCCCCACCCCATGCCCCTGAGCCCGGCTTGGTTACCTCGCAGGGGGCCCGGCGGGGTCCCGCCCCTCTTCCTCAGCTCCCCGAAGCACCCGTCGCACACCTTAGCCATGCGGTCCTTGAGGTACTTCAGGGGATACTTGTTCCTTGAGCAGTTCCGGCACACGATCTGCAGGCCGGCACCAAGGGACACATATGTGTTGACTGTCACACCACCAGATATGCAGAGGGGGCTGATGTTCACCCTCATGGCCCCTGCTTTAGTGGCCCAGGTTGCATTCTACTTCCTTGCTGGTGACTCTGTTTACCCCTGATGTTGCGCCCTTAGGGGTGAGGTAGCATTCTTTCTACCGCGAGTGCCACTGCTAATGTCCTCTCTGCAAGTGGGAGGAGGTGGTCGTGGGCCCCCCAAGATTCCCACAGTGCTCACCTTGCCGCAGGCGTGGCAGTGGTGGCGCCGCAGTGTGAGGGAGAAATCACAGCCGCAGTTCATGCACATCATGGCATGTGTGACGGGCACCAGTGTGGGTGGCTGCTCCCCCAGGCTGACCCCCAGCCTCTCTCGGAGCTGAGAAGGGGTGGAGGTCAGCATGGTCCCCAAGTATCCCCAGCCCCTGGGGACTTGTCCCATGCCTACTGCTCACCTCAGCACTGTGGTGGAAGGCGGCCAGGGCCTGGGCCTCGTGGTCCTCAGGGACAGCCCTGCTTAGACAGCTGTGCCACTCATCCCTCTCGGCGCAAGAGCTGTGAACACAGGCAAGCGGGTCAGTCATGGTGTCCTCCCACCTGCAACATGTGATGCTTTGTCCGCAAACACTGGGCTGTGACAGGGGCAGGGGACATGAGCAACCCCTCTGCCAGTGGCAGACAATGGGCAAAACAAAGGCCCTGGGCTGCAAGGTCCATGCTGTAGAGGGACAGAGGGAGGGAGCGGGGACACACCACATGGTACCATATGCTCCCCTCAGATACTCTCTGAGCTGCAGGGGTCAAGGCCAGCAGCAGCAGTCTTATAGAGTCCACCAGGTGGCGCAAACATCCTGCACACCAACACAGTGACCCCACACAGGGTAGTAGGGGCTGCACTGGGAAGAGGAAGTTGTGTTACCCACTGCTCCGCTCCAGTGTGACAGCTACCCCTGCCTGGAAACATGAGCCTCAGGGCCCAAGTGCATAGCCAAGAGCTAGGTGCATGACCCGAGGAGAGGGAAAGGAGGGGTGTGGAGCCCCAGAACACAGAGGAACTGGTACCTCCAGGGCCTGCCTGCCACAGCCATAGGCCACAGACTCGCCCCAGATGAGTGAGGGGTACTGAGGCCAGCAGGTGTTCACCTGAGGCCTGTGTGGGGACCAGTGTGTCACTCCCTGCTCCATGGGTGTACACTAGGGTGCACACTTTCTGCCTCATACTCAGTAAGGGGGCCCCAGGTAGAGAAGACACCCAACTACAAGAGCCCCCAGGGTGCCCAACCCAGAACCATCCTTCCACTCTGAGCTTGATGGCATCCCCACTCTCATTGGAAAGGGGTGCTTTTAGGGGTCACAGCCTAAAGCTGGCCACAGGGTGGGGTCCTGAGGACAAATGCAGGTCTTTCCCTTCCTTCCTTCCTTCCTTCCTTCCTTCCTTCCTTCCTTCCTTCCTTCCTTCCTTCCTTCCTGCTTCCCTGCTGTGTGAGTATGGCCTACAGTGCCCATAGGGAAGGTGAGGGGTGGAAAGCTGGCCCTCATCTTTCCCTTGCCTTCAGATGCTACATCAGGGTAGACAGGCCACATGTGTTGGACCCCCTATGTCTGTGGAATCTCGCAGACCCGAGGTGTAGTCCTTGTCACCTGTCATGTGCACTTTCCAGGCACACTTTCCTCCTGGAGAGAAGCCAGGAGTTTTTATAACACGGTGGTTAAGAGGCACTGAAAGCAGAGTCCTCTCATCTGTTGGGGGCCAGAAGGGAGGTGGTGCCA